AAAATTATAAAAGAGAATTATGGCAATGAATCTATAGGAAACAGAAGAAATGTGTAAGACACCTATTGAATATATGCATAATTTTTCTAGGTAAAATAATAGCTTTTACYATCTCCTCAAAAAACAAAAAAACCCGAACAGGTTAAGATTCACTCATGAAGAATTGGCAAAACCAGTCATAAATTACTTTTCTGAATCAACCTGGAGAGTCTTATCTCTTACATAGTTAACATACAGTGTTTAAATATTTTTTTTAATCTTGGGAATGAAGTGCTCAGAATTGTGTATTATAAGGACTGAAGGTAGGAAGGCAAGTGAGGCTGTTTCTTCACAGAGAAGAAAGGACTCAGTGAGGAGCATCAAGGTTGGCCAGAAGGCTCAGAATCGAGTGACTTTGAAGGCAGTAGTGCTGAAGAACCAGTCAGATGTAATTGGGAAGGAAAGCTCTCCCAGATGATTTGTGTATTCCCATGTAAATACCAAATGCATGTGCTAACTTATTGTATGAATTAGGTACTTGGCAGAGTAAACCACCTTGCATCATGAGCCAGGAAATGAAAGTGGGACACAGGAAGGGACCAAGGTCCCATAGTCCCCTTTGAGGTCATGCTTCTAATGACCTATTAATCCCTGCAAGATCTAACCTCCTCAAGGCTGCACCATTTTCCAATAGCACAACCCTGGGGAGCAAGCTTTTAAAATATGGACCTTTGGAAGACACTTAAGATCCAGATAATAGCAGCTAGCTATTATTAAAAATTAAATTTTAGAAGTAATATATGATAAAAATTCCTTTAATCAAGGAAAAGTAYTCACCTCTAATCTCCAAAAGGAAAACATTGTCATAAACATGACAGTATTTATAGTTGCTATTTTAGAAACAATAAAGGGTCTTTAATTGTACCTTTGTATGTCACTGTGTCAAAAGCTGTTAAAAATAAAAGTCACAATTTTGACTAACAACTAATGCTGAAGAAATGTTTGCTTAGTAAATTAAGGGGCAAATACCTGATTATCCTAAGAACATAGTTTATTCCTTTGAATATGTAAGGTTCTGTCATTTGTTAAAAGTTAATCAAGCTTTTCTGAGTTGCTTTAAGCATTGCTAATGTATCAAAAGTAAATTACTTTTAAAATGAAGATTGCTTAGGAACCTGGGYCTTACTTTGATTAGTTGGAAGAGTTGCCATTCAAATATTTTTTGGATTATATTCCTTTAAAACATTATTAGTTAGTAAAATTGTTGAATTTAGTGATTCAGAATAAGTCATTTATACACAGGGATGGCATCTATAATTTAAGATGCTACTTATTAAACCTTTGCTTTAAGATTTCCATTTTTGAAATTTGTAATAGTGAACTCTTCTGGTTTTTATAATCTTGGTTGAAAAGTACCATTTACTCATCCCTCACAGTTTTGTGGTTCCTAAAACATGTTTAGGTATTCATTCATCTCATTAACCATGTTTGAGTATTGATGGACCTTTTGACTTTAGAGATGGTTTCTGCTAAAGAAATGTTTGGATTGTATCTAGCAGTTTCTTTCTGCTCTCTTTTAATAAATGTGGAGGAAATTTCTATTAATTGCTTCAGCAAAAATGTAAAAATTTTCTCCAACTACTATGGGACAGGTAAGACTTTGCTTTTGATAATAAAAGTTTCCATTTTTATATCACTTGTAAAATATTTCATAAGAGTGGTGATTATCTTGTTATTTTCTTAAATTGTGGTAAAGAAAATTTATTTTTGCAATATGTAGCAAATTAATGCATAATCTATTAATATTATCTAATTTTTCAAATTTAACCAAAATGCTAAATCTAATTTAGAAAAGTCAGTGTCTCTTTCCATTTTAAGTTGCTGAATCATAGCCAAATGAAACATTGGTAGGTAGGTGTATTTTTTCAAGACRCATCCTGTCAGTAGCCTTGGCATAAACTGGTATAATATATCCAAAAAGAAGATTTTACTATTAATGATTAAAATGTTACAGTTTGAATATAAGGCTTCTTTTTTTGTTGATTTGTGTGTTGATATATCAGCACTGGGGGAAATTTATTTTTTCATGGTTAATAAATTCTGAAAGTAAACTTGCTATTCCTTACATAAAAATAACATTGGGATTTTTGAAAGAAAAATGCTATATAATCTGAAAATCATTTATTATCATTTCCTCTGAGAACCTGCACATATTTGAATATTCCCAGGAGAGACCTAGCAGAATCTTTCAGAGATTATAAAATTTAAATAAACTATCAGTATGCAGACATTTTTGCTTAGTTTGTTTATTCTCCTTATATAATGGTGACATTACATATTAGGTCCCAGTGCATTAAGGAACTTCATGAGTAAAATACTGATATTTTAGATTACATTTCACATTTTTGTACAGTATAATTTTTTTTTCCTGATACCTTCACTGCAAACTCCTACTAAGTCCTGCACATCTTATGGCACAAGATATCATCTTGTGAAACTTTCTTCTCCAGAGTTTAGTTCCAGAATTTAGTTTCAGATTTCCAGAGTTTATAGGTAAATTTAAGGATAACTTTTCAAAACAGAGAAGAATCACCAAAGAGATGCTRTAAAAAGGCAGTGATTGTTCAGAAGAAGGAAAAGTTACTTTTTTCTATTAAAGAAAATTCAACACTTAGTGAGATAAATCATGTGTTCCATATGGAGCAGATTTATGCCTCCAGGGGTTAGTTCTAAATAATTTTTTCTGCAACAAGCAGTTGATAGGTCAAGTTAGATAAGATCAGGTAAGGAGGGCATGCACTTCATAGCACATGGCTCTAATGATACCTTTTTCCTTCCTATTCATTAGTCACTATTGCAAGTGACTCAGTCACATTATACTGAATAATCTTGAATCTGCTCTGATTATGTTTTAAAAAGTGAATCAAGTATGAACATTGATGTTTTTACTATTATCAATAACAAACTACCTAGAAAGCTTCTTAATATAGTATCAATATATTATTGTTTCTTCTTTAAATATAATGGCAAGTAATGTTGGTACTTCCTTTCTAGAAAGTCTGTTCTCCTCTCTGTAGTATGAATTTCATTCTTGTTCTAGTTCATGTTATGTTTTCCTGATATACTTTTATTTATGCTCCTTCATTTGACATTTCCATCAAAATGATTCTAGTTTGGGTTSCTTTCTATTGCCTTATCACTGTCCTGAAGAGCAAAATTCAGTTATTTTTGTTATTATGTTGAAATTGTCACATGAAGAGTTTTCCTTTTGTTTTATGTTTCTACCTCATTACTCTTTGTTGCCACAGAATCATATGTTTATTTACTGTTTCTGTGAATGAACAATATAGCATTAAACAACAGATTAGATAGCAGATAGATATTTCTTAATTGCATGAACCCTTTTTTATAGTGGGTGGTAAGCCTAATTTTAATACGCAATTCTGTATAGATAATTCTTAAGTATATCAAATTACAGACATTTCCATGTTCTTCTTGAGCACTTTGCCTTCACTGTGCTATAGCAGATACTGTTGGTTCACTGCCTAGACCTCCTGTACTGGCTGGTGATCCTTTCAGTGAATAATTTCTTTGGCTAAATAGGAGGTACCTTTCCAGGGAGAGAATGTGCTCTCCCCTAATACTCCCCTCCACAAGAGGAGAGCAAGCCAATGATACATGCAGTATAAGAAGTTGGGATCAATTCTGTGTTTAATTAGTGCTTTCCCCTGTGTAATTAGGTAGAAGCTGATTTATGAATTTGATCCCATTCTTGCTTGGCTTTTTTTCTCCTTTCCTTATTTCCTCTAGTATCTTTTCTCAGAATAATCCTCCAACAAATTATTTGAACAACAATCCCTATCTGGGCCTCAGCTGAGAATACAATTTAAGATGCACATCCAAATTTATTTCATCAACTTCTCCTTAAATACATTTTCTTTCTGTATTTGCAGTGTTTGATAAATGATACAATTTTATTGCCCTCAATTAGAAATCTCACCTATTCCTGAATAGAGTTATTTCCCAGTTTTTTTTTTGTTTCTGAACATCCTTTTATTCTTTCAAATTATGAAGGATAACGTGAGAATTGCGAACACGATTCATTGTAATGAATGAGTCATTGTCCTTAGTCTCTGTTTTTATTTTGATCATAAAGTTCAGTCACTTATGTTTATTTATTTGTGTTGAGTGGGCAGGGGGTGGCATTTAGGTTTATGAGGGGAATAGCAGGTGTTAGGGATCAGCCACTGAATGATGACAGATATTTTGCAGTCAAATAAGAATAAGTGGAACAAGTGGAGTCTGTAGGACTTGAAATTTAAGTCCTTGTTCATTTGAAGAGGAAGCATCTGGTACAGCTATCACAAGATGGTTCTAGAGATATGATTACTTAGCACTTAGGATAAGTAAAATCAGATGCCAAGTGGAATTTATCCTAAAATATATCCAATCAGAATTATATTTGCAATTATGAAGATAAGGTGATTGTAAGCATTTCATTGATTTCAAAACAAATTAATTTTATAACAACTAATGGAAACAGCAAAAATCATGTAATAATTGTCATATAMTTATATAAGTATACATATTATATTATATAAGTATACATGTTATTTTATATTATTATATAAGTATACAAATTATATATTATTAAATATTGTTAAGATATTTTCTAATCAGGATGAAAATAAAATTGTTGGATGTTTTCAAGTACACATACTATTTATATTCTCATACTTAAGTATAACAGTGTTAATCTTAGTTTTAGGAAATTTACTCCTACTTTGAGGCAGTGAAATTGACCAGTTTTCAGAGTCCAAAGAATTCTTGAATAGTAAGGTATTTTAGAGGATTTTTAGTACTGGAACATTTCGGCTAGCCTGAAATCTAGCTATTATGTATCAGGGTCTATTTGTTGATTCCCTGTCATATATTCTATGACTCTCCATGTACCTCCTAAAAGAGACTGGTTCTTTAACTGCCTTTATATTGATGCCCTGAAAATCTTCATTTCTGTCTAGGGTGAGCCTGTCACTTTCTGTGAGGAAAGTTTTGTAAAGCATCGCTCAAGTGTGATGAAACAGTTCTTGGAAACTGCTGTTAACCTTCAACTTTTTAAGCAGGTAAGAGTGGATCTACACATTTTTAGTCTGTAACAGAACATTGTCATTTTTGCACATTTTCATCATCCTGAAACTGTGTCCTAATCCTGAGTAAAGTCTTTTCTAGCATTTTATGATTTTTAAAAACTCAGTAGCTAGCTATGACCTAGCAGTCCAGAAATATTATGTAATAACTTTGCTATTAAAAGGAACTAATGAAAAAATTGCTAAGCTCCAGGTTTCACTGAGGAGGGGCATATATCCACAAAAGAAAACACAACATGAGTAGTTGTTAAACAGGGAATGTGAGGAGGAGTTATTTTGGAATGGTAGATTGATATGGTAAAAAATAACTAGGATAGTCCCAGTGTTATCTAGTTTATAAAATAATTTACAAAATGAATATTTAACTAACCTTTAAAGCTTTGTAAAAGACTTTTCATAATTATGAATTTAAAATTTAGGGGAAAATTATGGTTATACCATATGTCCTGATTTTCAGTTCAGAAAATATAATTTCCATTTCAAAAAAGTTGTAGCTTGACATCGGAATTCAGAAATTTTGGTATACTAGTTCTTTCATCTCATTATACAGTCATAGCAAGTCTCTTAAGCTATTTTGTCTTAGTTTTGGTTTACATAATTTAAGTCCTTAAAATTTGCATTTCTTCTTTGAAATGACAATTTTAAGAGTAACATTGATGCTGTGAATTTAGTGTTAATGAAGAACAGTGGTATGTCAAATAGTGCTCAAGCAGGATAAAAATATGTAATGCCTTGGAGGAGCTGATGACCCTAATAGTAATTTATTTAGACTCTTGGGGGGGGAAATTACTTATAGCTTAAAATATTCTTCAAAATAAGTCAGTAAAGAAATCAGCATGGCAACAAATTAATATATTATCCATATTCTAGGGAAATTTTAAAAAATAATCTGAGATTTGAAAGTGTTTAGGTAATATAACTGTCTTCTAATATATAAAGGAAAGGCTTTCTATATATAAACTTTTAGGATCATGTATTTCAGGACCAGAGATGTCTTGTTATTTTCCAAAGATATAGTTGTATACTTTGGAGTTCCCTATACCTAGATGTATCCAAGCATATAGTGAATTACTTCCTAGGGTTATAAGGAGGATCAAATAATAGTGCTTTATAAGTGCTGAAGAATATAGTACAGTGTATTCCCAAGTTAGTCATCCAGTATGGGCTTGTTGAATTAAGTATTAATGTGCCCATTTTTGTATCAAGAAGAGATACAACTTTCTATTATCAAGAATGAGTAGTGAAGATCAAATTGTTAAATGGGTCAAGGATTGAATGGGTGGGTAGAATATATAACTTGCTACTTTTGAGTAGAGATTCTGTAACTGGATTATTACCACTTAATAAGTTAATAAAGCATGGTAAATTTTATTGCATAGTAATTTTTAAAAAGCATTTTTAAGAATCATGTAGAGTTGGGTTAGATACTTTTCACTTAACAGATGATTGTGCATAAGTGCATGTTTATTTTCCTTTAAAATACAAATATTGCCACCTACCTAACAGGGTTATAACATTTATGTGTGCTTATATATACACTCAGCATAGTGGATGACACCTTGCAGATGCTCAGTAAGATTTATTGTCCTTCTCATTCTTAGAGGAAATACAATAACATAATCCAAGTCTATGTGGGATTATTTTTAAATTAGTAAAATGAAAAGGCTAAATCTAAAAAATGAAAATCATCAATCAAAGTAAAATCCATTTTGTGGACAACTTGAATAATTTTGCATAGACAAATGTACCATTTTTAGAAGTTGATATCATTTTATGAATCTTAAGAAAGTGATTCTTAAAGATAGCCCTGTATTTAAAAGAGTATTGTTGACAGAGTTTTACAAACTTTTCTAAAAGAAAAGTCAGTTGGTAAAAATGTATCAACACAGATGGATCTTCAAAGATTATACTTAGAAATGGCTGAAGGAATATAAAAATTTAYTAGGTACAAGTGATTACTATCTATAACAATGATTTTATGATCCATGGTAGATCTAGAATCAGTGTCTCTTTTAGCATGTTAATGCTTCCAGTTTGATAGAACTTKAACCCAGGAGAGCAACATACAGTTTTAAAGAAAGAATTAGAGTGAATTTTTATTTCTGGTAATATGTCAGAGTAGGTTGAGAAATAACCTGTTTACCCAAGCAATTTAAAATGTAGGAGTTGAAAAATATTTTGTTGAAAGGAAGCACAGGAGACAGAGCTCATGGGTCACTTTTTCTGGGTAAGAAATATAATAGGAGAACTTACTTCCAAAAATCTGGGAGGACTTTATGTAAAAGTAAACAGGAAATAAAGGAACCTTTTCCTTTCATTTATTTCCTGGGTATCTGAAAGGAGACTAAAATTTCAAAAGAATTTTCACTATTAAAAATCAYTAAACATACAAGGAATCAAATCATGAATAATATTAAAAGTAACAGAAATTGACCAAGACTTCAAATACTGGAATTATCAGAAATAGAATATGACATAGCCATGTTTAAGATGTTGAGAGAAAAAAATCAAGCTTTAATAAAGTTGTTAAGAAACAACTTTAAAGGATATAAAACCGATTTTAAGAATACAGCAAATAATTAGTGAAGCATATAATAATTGAAATTAAAGGAAATTGTTGGGTTTAATTGCAGATTTGTCTTAAATGAAGAGAGACTTAAGGAGTTGAAGATCTATCTGAAATAGAAATTATCCAGAATATGGTACAAAGACAAAGAAATAGAAAATATAGTGAGATAATAGATATGGAGAGTCTAGAGTAATTCATATAATCAGTTCTAATAGGTAAAGACTAAAAACAGAAGGGAGAAAATAAATGAAATGACTTCACTAGAACCAGTGAAACACTCCATTTTATGGATTTAAAAAGTCCAACATATCCACACCAAGCAAAGAAAAAGAAATCTAATATATTCAGTTACAAAATATTAAAGAGGGAATTTTTTAAAATGATAGGAGAAAAAAAGATTACCTTCAAAGGAGAACTGTACTGACTAAACTAACTTCAAATCAACAACAATGAATATAGATGATCCTGGCCTGATATCTATAACATGTTTAGAAAAAAAATATGTAGAGTCGTATACCAGTTTAAACACCTTTTAATTACACAAAGGATGTGAAGGCATTTCTCAACAAAACCCAGGTTTGCCCCTTGGGCTGGTTTTATTGATATGTCTACTTGGGCAGGCCACTGTCCCCACTTTACTCATACATTAACTTAGGATTTGTCATGAAGAAATATTATAGATATAACTAAAACCCCTAATCATTTGACTGTAAATAATAAAGATTATTGTTATAACCTGATTGGTGGATCAGTCTGAATCACTAGGAAGTTATTAAAAAGAGGACTAAGGAGTCCATGAGAAAAGAAGAGAGAAAGCTGTTCCTTAAGAATGAACTCATATAAAATTGGAAGAGGTGTGTGTCCTAAAAGATGCATAAATATCAATAAGAAATAGAAGAAACATGAAAAAACAAGGCAATACGATTCATTTAAAAGTTCGCTACTCAGTAGTATCTGATTCCAAAGCAGGATGAAATTCCAGACAAAGAATTTAAGTAATTATACTAAAAATGATCATTTAATTCAAAGAGAAAACTAATAAAAAGCTAGATGGTTTAAGGGAAACAATGCAGGATAGAAAAGAGCAGTTTAGTAAAGGAGAGAGCTTCTAAAAAAGAACCAAAAAGAAATTTTATAGATGAAAAACTCAATAAATCAAATGAAAAGTCTCACCAAGAGTAGATCAAAAAGAAGAAAGAAATCAAGCCTTTAAGACTTGGGTGAAGAGTTATCATATTTAGAAAGTAAAAAATAAAAAGAAAAGTAAGAATAAACAAAACCTACAAGGCCTATTTATGATTAAAAGCCAGGTGTGAAATCATGATGTAGAAGAAGGAACAGAAGAACAGCCTTGATATTTAGTGAAATAATAGCAGATTCTCTAATCTTGGGAAAGATATGATCATCCAGGTATAGGAGTTATTTAGAACTTCAAACACACATGACCGGAAAAGAACTTCTCCACATTTATTGAACTTCCAAAATTACAGAACAAGGAAAACTATTGAAAGCTACAGAAGAGAAATACTTACAAGGCAAACATATCAGAATAATAGCAGATTTCTCTAAAGAAATTTGGAGGGCCTGAAATGATAGATATCAAGCTCTGAAAGAAATAACTGCAATTCTAGATTACTATATCCAGCGATGTTRTCCTTCACAACTGAAGAAGAAATAAAGTCTTTTCAAGATAAACTAGAGGAATTCATGGCCACTAAACCAGAATTACAGAAAATACTTAAAGCAATTCTACACACAAAAGAGGAAGCAAGATAAACACAATCATGAGAGCATGATAAAGAATACATCTCCTTAAAAGAGTAGAAAAATTAATAAGAATTAGGAAAGAATAAAATATTATTACCTTATTAGATCATTAGATCTCTAAGATGAATAAAGGAAGTTGTTCCAAACAACCAGAAGAAAAACATAGAAAGAGATAGGCCCCAATACAAATGACAGGAATTTGTCCATACCGTTCAATAATTATCCTGAATATAAAAGGTCTTAATTCTTCAATTAAAAGAGGCACACTGCCTAATTGAGTTTAAATAAAAATTAAAAAACAAAACAAAAACAGAACCTGACAATCTGCTGGACGCAAGAAACTTACCTCARTGGCAGACATACAGATACTAGAAGTGATAGAAAGTGAAGTTTCAAATAAATGAAAACAAAGCAAGAAAGACTAGTTGTACTCATATTTGGCAAAACAGACTTCAAGTCAAAATAAGAGACAAAGAAGGTTATTCCATTTTGACAAAGCAAACTGTCCATCAAGAAGATATAATGTTGAAAATATAAATGCACTAAATATTAGAACATCCTCAGATTTATAAAACAAACATTACTGAACATAGAAAGAGATAGGCCCCAATACAATAATAGTGGGCAACTTTAATATCTG